GCTCCCCCCCCCCCCCACTCTCCCTGATGGGAAAACTATATTCTGCCGCCCTCTGCGTTAGCCGAAGTTAATCAATGCTTTTGTAAGGTCACCTGGCTAATCATTTAGTCTGCCCTGCTCCCCATATTAAGCGAAAGAATTGTCTAAAAAAAGAGAGTTCAGAGGATACTGAGTGAAATCGTTTTTAGTTCATGAAACTGGAAAGCACGGTCATCAAGCAAGTAGGCCTAAACCCACATTAACTGAATATTAAACGCTTGTTAGCTGAGAAGGCTTATCCAAAAATCCCAGTGCAATAGAGATTCCATCAAGTAGCCTTGATAGATTCTGGGAGCAGCTGATAATTCCGAGGACTCAGTCCTCATATTCACTGGGTGTCTGTCTAGAGAAAATGAATACACGACCTTCGGTCTGACAGACGTGCACAATGGAATATGCTCCACCAGCTCGCGCGTGACATGTCAAACTCCGATGAAAAAGCAAAACAAAAGCACAATTTCAATGATGGAGATCATTTAAGCAGAAAGAGAGATGGAAATAATTTGAAAAATGTCAGGAAATTTTCATTTCACTGAGTAAAATGTCTGGACTTGGACGATGATCCATCCACAAGCACCCTCTGTGATTCTCGCCTCATCAATTTGTGATTAGTGTACTAGTAAGCGCAAGATGGACCCCGTTCTACACCCATTCACGCCGAACACCTGCTTCACATCTGTGAAATGAGCTGCCTAAGTCTGCCTTTCTGAAAGGAAAACTTCAGATTTCCAAAATTTTGGTAATTGCGAATTTAATAAAATTTTACCAATTATAGCTCGCTTTTTGTGAATATCGTAAGGAGTAGTCTTTAACAAGCTGGCCCAACCAACCCCATGAATTAAACGTCAAACACTCAAATTGTCAGGATAAACAAGGAGTATTACAAGTATCGAATTTCAATTAATTTACACTCAGAACCAGGAACCAGGACAGTTACATGTGCTCTTTTACATATATTTCGAAGGTATGCCTTAAAATACCCGTAAATATATTGCAAATGCACAAGACTAGCGAGAACTCCTAATGAACCAAGACTACTTATATTGATTCAATAGCTAATAAGTTTATTATTTTACATAGAAAAATACATTAATAAAGAGTGGATATTTAAATGACGTAGTCATAGAAATTGGACAAAGAAGCACGTCGACACACACACACACACACTTAGAGACCTTCAATCTGTCCCAATTCCCCATTTGACAGGGCAATTCCCAATTTCTCTGCAGCGTTCTGATAGAGAGCCAATTCACTCTTCACCTGATTCTCTAAATCCTGTTCGTAATTTTCATCGAAATTTGGTCTCCTTTCAGATGCCGACATTGCAAGAACCAAACCTCGAGCGCGCTAAAATGAAAACAAACTTGAATAGATGAAAAAAAGGCTCATAGTTTATCTTTATGGGCTGGTTACCAGAAGCACGAACACAGAAACGGCAGCTCCACCCAACCTGCCGTAATATTGCCTTTTAAAACATTCCCACCTCTACTCATACTGTACTGGTGCTTATCCCTTCTTCTTCTTCAAATATGCCTGTCCACAACTTCTATTCCTTATATATATGCGATTTCGGGGAAGGTTATTGAATCTTGCGTTAGGCATTAAGGAGAGCATTATTTTTAAAGGATAGACTTACCTCCACGTGGTGCACCCTGGACAACATATCTTCGTACGGCAAAAAAGTCTATCACTCGGCATTTGATTTGACTTCGATTTATTGGATCATTTTCACTGGCTTAAAATCTGTTTCTCATAGATTATTCAACGACCCCATATCTTCAAAGAGGGATGTCCGATAGACTTACCTCCATGTGGTGCTTCCTAGACAACGTATACTCATGCGGCAAAAAAGTCTATTAACTAGCAGTTGACTTTTGATCTCAAATTACCATCACCCCACTGCATGTCAAATTCGACCACTTCTACAGTACTCACCTCACATTTTTTTTTCTACCTTTGTGTCTGTCTCTATTACATCTTTGAAACGCTCTTCTGTTCCTCCCCCCTCCTCTCGACTTTTTTTCACTTTGATGTTCCTCCTCCCCTCTGTGAAGCCTGAAGTCAACTAAAGGGCTAATGATATCTATCAAAACGCCTGCCATTTGATATAAATAAATAAATTTTTAAAGCACGGTTGGACACCCAAAATTAACTCTTCCGGTAGGATTTAGCCCCCCCCCCCACCCCCATTTGATACAAAATCTCTAATCGTGATAAGAACACCCCTCCACCCATCAAAGTGACTCTCTTAGTCACACAACAGCTAATACAAACACCAACTCAGTATCACACGATCAAGCCTCTCATTCTTTTCCTTCCCTGTGGAGTCTGACGAGTTATGAGAATTAACTCCTTTTCCTCGTGCAAACACAGCCGATTTGACTACCTCTGGTCAACATTATGACTGGTGGGGCATGAATTACGCACAAGCGAATAATTCATTTCCATTGACGATGACCTCCCTTAATCGATATCCACTTAACATATACTCTCCAATCATAACAAGAAAATCGAATATTAATCCCATGAGATATTGTTCTCAATGGTCCTTTTTAACTCACCCTCTCCCCTCCTAGACATTTATTCAGTCGACTGTTGATCGATTTCATCTCTACCTTGCAAACAAACCAACCTACAATTCCATTGCATTAGTGCATGTAATAACAAAAGTCTTTTTTTCAAATTACTCAAGACCACCTTCCATTTGACTCATCTAATGAGACTGGCATAGATTTACGCCCCCTCTGGAAATTAATTAAACCCGAGAGTACACGAAAAGCTATTCTAACTCACCCTATCTGCAATTCGTTTGCGATATAACACAGTCTTGTAGAACTCGTCCAGAGCTTTGGGGCTCTTTCTAGATATTATAAAATAGATGAGAGTGTTGAAAATGCGACGCGATTGAAATTTGGAGAGCTTGAGACGAGGTCGAACCGTGTCGATGAATTTCTTCAGGAGAACCAAGTAGGCGGAATTCAATACCTCATCTGATTCTGATTCTGGCGATAATGCTGATGATGAGTCGCCACTTAGTAGACGACGTCTCTTTGCTGAAGGCAAATCAGTCATATCGTCGGGCTTTGGCAAGGTGTTAGTGGAGGAGAGGTGGGCGAAATCTAGGACTCGATTGAGAATTGGCAGAATTTCTGGCGATTTCGTGAGACAGCGTTTGCAATCCAGGTAATCACGAAGGCGACTCAAATTATCGGAAGGAGCCTCAACTGCAAAAAAATACATAATTCTTAGGCCTACTTTACAAAGACTTTATATAATTATTGTTGTTAGGGTCGAGTTGGTGAGTGAACTAACAGAAAGAACTTTAGTGCAAGGGTGAGCCCTTATCTTTCACCAAGTAAATGTGACAAAACATCTGAATTAAACTTGGCTCTCGCGAAGATAGATTCAGCAAGGAAACGAGGAATGAGTCCCGAAATTTTGGTATTGAAATAAAAATGAGATCGTAGAATGAATTGAAAATACCCGTAGACTTGTAAGGAGATATTCCATATAAGAATATATACAAGCATAGACCAGCTGTCACCATTCCTCAGCTTGTCTTTAGCCAATTTAGAGAGAACGACGAATCACTTTGGGAATAAAAATCCGCCTTACTTATAATTCTCAAACTCAGTTAGATTCATGCCAAAAAATGAAAGTCATGAACTATCATAATAAAGACATATCCCAGTACAAATAATCGCATTCAAATAAAATAATAATTGCGCGAAGCATTCAAGAGGTAAGGCTTGCAAGAAACCTAGAGCTATTAGGTCACTCCCAAGACAAACAATTCTTAAAGAGGGTGAAATAGAGAAATCACACTAGCCTAATTAGTTCTAGCAGCAAAAATAGAACCGAAAAAAATCAAATCTCTTTGAGTACTGATACCACTCACACCCAGTGCCACAACCGAAAATAGCTAACTTTTCAGTAAAATAGAAACGAAGCATACAAAAGGATATGACATGATAACATCATGAACAAAAAAAATTTCCCATCAAATATGATCCAAAAATAGTGAAACGTTAAATCTGAAGATATCGCAATATATATATATGACAATAGCCTTCAAGATAAAAGCAATTCCGAAAGTCGCATATAGTATGAAGGTCTTGGGACATAGCAAGAATAATCTCACTTACAGGTAACATCAATTGTTTTCGAAAGAGGGACCACACGATCATAGATAGCTTCAAGAAGTCTGGTACAGTGGCCCATTTTCTGGAAAGGCGGCAGAATAAGCACTTGGCTAATACGAGGTCGAGTATTCTCAGGATAAGCATAGAAGAAGTGAACCGAAGCGTAGCCAACAAAAGCGTAACGAGGACTTGGTGAACTTGGCGACATAAACTTCTCATATCTAGAGATAGAAAGGTATTAATCGAGATAATTAAAAAAACCTACACAACGTAGAAAGACCAATCATCATCAAGTACAACAAAGGAAGCCTCATCAATGAAGAAAAGAAGGAAGGGCTCCATTCGTTTAAGATATTTTGTAAATTCCAAAAAGTCTGGCGATTTGGAATCAACATAGTAAATTACAAACTCCCGACTATTTTCCCCTTCAATAACAGAGTATGACTTCTCTGGACTCCCATAAGGCTCAAAAGTGATATCCTTATCAAATTGCTTCAAGAATTCATCCCGATCAGTTGTGAAGCCCGCTGGATAGGCTTCTTTCAGGGCTGCCAAAATGTTATCGGGCTAATTTAAAAATAATAAATAGAAGCAAAATGGAATCGAAATACCTTAACTCCCTCGGCAAGTGAGGGAGGTATCTTACTGGAGTAATCAATTTGTACCAATGTCGCCAAAGATCCAGCCGTGTAGGAAATGACGATACTTAGGTCTTTATAACCAAATATAATTTCACTAAAAAGGCAATACCACAATAAGAAAAAAACTACCTTTGCCCAAAGATTTGATGAGTTAGGTCTGGATTAAAAGCTCCCTCGTCATTGTCTAAATCCTGCTTTTCTCGAACTAATAATAGAAGTGTTCAAATAAAAATTAGACAATTAAAAAATAAAAGGAAAATATTACTAGAAATATCGTGAGAGAGCACAAGAAATCACGATTTCCCATGTTCAAGCAGGAAAAAATATTTGATTTTTCATAGAATTCAATTATTGGATACTCACTCAACTTAAAAAATGTTACTTCAAAGGCATCTGGCTTATAGATCGCAAGCGGGTCAACCATCCCAATTCAAACTAATATTCAGGCAAAAAGTGGCTTATTTTGTTCAAAATTCTATTATTCAAGGCGAATTTCTTATTGGTCATTCAAGGATAACATAAAATATTTAAGTGAAAGAAGAACTAACGGTATTTTATTTGAATTCAAAAATTAAAAATGTTATTTATATAATTTATTTACAAGATTTTTAAAAGCATTTTTTAAATAAGTTTTATTTTCAAAACTGTTGAATTATATCGATCTGCAGCTATTCAATTCAGGTTACATATTCACATTGAAAAAGCCATTTTTGGTTATGGAGTGACTTATGTTTAGCCTATCTAAAATTTCCTGTTTAAAAGTAGGAATCTTTTGCAGATGATAATCTACTATTTTGCTTTCGGGATGGCTTCTCTACTTCCAGATTACTTTTCGAGAATCAATTGGCATATGCTGAAGAACCAACTCACGAAATCTGGGCATGTGACAAACCAAGTAGTCAGAGAACACTTCGAAGCAATGCTCATACAAAGGGTTAGTATCTAAATAATAAAGGAATTCTGTAAGTCTAGACTATTCTTTTTTAAATATTCGACTATTTGCTTAGGATGGACTTTTCACAATGGTGAGCTAGCAATTTTACAATTAACGTAAAGAAAATTGAACACATTTCAAGACGAAGGATGATTCATAGGGCGCAGTAAATGAATCGAACTTGGTAGCGGAGAAAGGAACATAGGCGTCACCAACATCACACGACTTGGTTTATGCTTGCAACTATGACGCCAGTCGAATAATCTCCACCAGAATGTATTAATGGTAGAAAAATTAATTCAATCCTCAAAAGAAATGAAAAATTGCAAAATTGACTTTAGGGAAAAAAAATTTGACCCAAATCCAGTGAGACCTCTCTCAAACCCAATTTAAAAAAGAACCATAACGGAAAAGTTAAGAAAGGCGAGTTTATTTCATTACGTCTGCAAAATTAGTTTCTTAATTGGCAAATATATAAAATTTATCATATTTACAATATGTATACTTTAAATACACTCTCAAGCTCCTTGTCCACATACACAAGAAATCACTAATCTTGGTTCTTCTTACAAGTTTTGGTGTCTAAAAGACAGAAAATAAAGTAATTTAGAAAGAAATCAATTCAATGCAAACTAGTTAAAAATGGTAAACAGCTTACGCAAAGGTTTACTCTTATTATAGTCATTAATTAACTTGTCAAGGTCCGCAAAAGTATAATCTTTGCAGTTAGGATGACTCAGTAGTCCTCGGACAAATCGAAGCCTCCTCTGATTCACTCTTGAACCCCCCTCAACCTGCGGATCTGCAACGGTACTTGGCGCTGGTTCCTCCTGTTTCTGCTTGTCCGTTGAGGCATTTGCTGTGAAAAAAAAACGGGGGAAAATTTTAACCAAAACAAACCAATCAAATTTTATCGGAGCAGATACCCACCTCCAACTGATGCCTCGCCGAGGGTCTGGAGCAATATGGCATTGTTCAGCGGATCTATAGGGATTGCTAGATGGTAGTAACTCGAATAGCATATATACTTTAAATTAGCAAAAAACAAATAATTACTAGGGGCAGTTGGTTCGTTTTTAGAATCGTCAGCAGGGGGAACATTTTCAGATGTTTCTGTGGCTAAAAAGTAATCACAACGTAGTCATTTAATATGATTTCATTGACATAAGCCCGATTTAGTAAATGCTCGCTAATGGTTAGAAAGCACAATAGAAGACAAAGAATACCTATGCAGAGCGATTCAACTATCCAATACAGAGCCAGGGGATTATTATGCCAAAATTCAAGACCTTCCGGTTTAGGAAACCGAAGGCGAGAATAACTAGGGTGAAAAACAATTCCCTAATCGCGCGCATTCTCTCCTACGGTTCCATTCCCATAAAAAACGAAAATAGTCAGAATATTCCATTTCCACTAAGAGAGAAATTTCTCCAACATCTTGTTAATAAAGTGCGCATTTTTCGCTATACATAGAGAGTTATTCGTTAAGCTTCTAACCGAAAGTCGAAGACAGTAAGTACTCAAGGAAGGGCCAGTAAACTAAATTGATCATGTTAAAATTCAAAGATCGGTAGAAACATGCCTGTCTAATGAATCAGTATTGGGGAAAGCCTTCCTACATCTTCCGATTTACTCACCGGTACAAGTAGAAAATACTACGTAGCAACACGAAGCCTCAAAAAATCGATAAAAAAAGAAAATCTTACGCCCTCTTTAGTACGATCTACTAAACCTAAGACTTTGTGATTAGCTGGACGCATTCAACTCCAATAGGGATACGTTCGGGACACAGAAAGCGAAAGCGAGGCGTCCACTAAAGCGGTTACAGAGAGCACATACACATCTGCAAAGGTAGGGCTAGGTGTTCGAGCAACCCATAGAATTTGAGAAAGAGCCGCGGGTTGGATAACACACCTTATGCTATAGATGATTCGGGCATTTACCTGAGTGCCAATATTTATTAATAAAACAGTTAGAGCAACTTAAAACCCCAAACCGTGCTTCTGTCATGTAATGTAACAAAAAAATAGCAAAGGTCATTGGCGTAGTTGAAAGCTGGAGGTTACACACATCTATACCTTTTTTACTCGCCCGTTTTCTTTTAGTTAATCTGGCCTTTGCAGGCGTCTTTCGAGTTGAAGCGGCTACGAAAAGGAGGAATAAAATTTAGCTCCATCCGAGTTGGAAAAAGGAATAAGAGAGCTCATATCGAATAAAGCGGTTTTTTAATAAAAAAAACAGGTTTTCAATGGGAATCAACAGCATCTATGTTATGTAGAAGGGGGTGTGCGATAGACTTACCTCCACGTGGTGCACCCTGGGCAACGTATACTCATACGGCAAAAAAGTCTATTAACCGGCAGTTGACTTCTAACTTCAAACTACCATCACCCCACTGTATGTCATATTCAACCCCTTCAACAACACTCATCTTGCCTTTTTCCCTACCTTTGTGTCTGTCTGCCTCTTTTACATCTGTGAATCGCTCTTCTGCTCCCCTTCCTCGACTTTCTGCTACTTTGATGACTCTTCCCTCTGTGAAGCCCGAAGTCAACTAAAGGGCTAATGATAGCTATCAAAATGCCTGCCATTTGAAATAAATAAATATAAATGTTATGTAGAAGAGCGAAACAGTGCTTTGCTGCTCATGGGAAGTGCAAATATGAACTCTACACCACCGACACGAAACCTCCACTCTGTCTAACATCGAATAAGAAAGACAGTAAGCAGGAATGATTAGTTCAAACTTCTTTGGTGCAAATTATTTCCAAATTTTACGAACGAATTTGCAAGAAAGCAAACACTTCTATATATCCTCTCTCTCTCTCTCACCTTTTCCGAGAGGGATAATCGCTGCTTACGGCATGTAAGACAAAGTTGATTGATGAAAGAAAAACAAAATTTTTTATTGCATGTGATG